AAGGACATCATTTCAAAGCAAACACTGTTGTGAACAATGTTATTAATAGATTATTTTTATGTATCTGACTAACGTCTCTACATTAATGTTGTCTCAATTTTTTTAACCACTTATGTTTTGATTCAGAATAAATAAAATTTATTCATTTATTTGGGCATGAAAATATCTTATGTGGCGTTTTGGAACCTGCTAAAAGAATAAAGCTGAGTTAAAATCATCCTTTAAAGGGGTCTGACTGGGAGGAACTGTACCTACACCTTTACTCCTGGGCTGTTTCTGTTGCTAAGGACATAATGAGAACAGAGACTTCTGAGTGCACTCCTGGAGAGATGGTCAATGAGAGATTGCAGCTGGGCTGACTGTAGTTCAGACAAATTCAACAAACATTCTTTAACGATCCACTCTGGTTGAATTCTGAGGTTACTAAGATAAATATGACACAGACTTGGTCTGAAGGAGCTCTCATTAGAGAAAAAAAAATCACTAACATATTTTTATGAAGTAGTTTTTTCCAATGGACTACAGTGTATATTGGTAGCTCAGCTGGTAAAGTATCCACCTGCAATGCAGGAGACCCCGGTTTGATTCCTCAGTTGGGAAGGTCCCTGGAGAAGGGACAGGCTACTCACTCCACTATTCTTAAGCATCGATGATGGCTCAGACAATAAAGAACCCACCTACAATGTGGGAGACCTGGGTTTGACCCCTGGGTTGGGAAGATCCCTTGGAGGAGGGCATGGCAGCCCACTCCAGTATTCTTGCCTGGAGAATACCCATGGACAGAGAAGTTTGGTGGGCTACATTCCATGGGGTCATGAAGAGTTGAACACAACTGAGTAACTAAGCACAGCCCAGTGTATACTGAGGGCTTCCCAGGTGGCATTAGTGGTAAAGAACCCACCTGCTAATGCAAGAGATGTAAGATATGTGGGTTCGATCCCTGGGTTGGGAAGATCCCATGGAGGATGGCATGGTGACCTACTCTAGTATTCTTACCTAGAGAATCCCATGGACAGAGAAGCTTGGTGGGCTACAGTTCATGGGTTCACAAAGAGTTAGACACCACTGAAATGATTTGACGTGCTTACACAGTGTATATTGAAGGAATGCAAAGAAGATGCATTTAGTTTAGACCAACAAGGAAGATTTTCTAGAGGAGGTGATGCTTTGCCAGGTTCTTGGAAGAGAAATAAAAGTTAACCAAGGGAAGAAGAGGAGAAGGGAATTTCAGCAGATGTCACAGCAAACATAAATTTGGTTTGCTATGGCTACAAAATGAGCCAAGAAGAGTGGAAAGGGTAAGGGAGGTAGGGCTGGAATATGGAGACTCATACTTGACTTACCTGAGCAGAAAAAGTCTATACATAAATATAATAGTAACCAAATGATGAGTGGTTGTTGTATATGTATACCCGTTTCTCCATCATTCATTTCCCTTTATCCTGCCTGCCTATAAAGTTATTGATTAAATATCTACTCCTCTACCAATACTTAACTGAAAATTCAGTGCACTTTTTCTCTACTTTGCAGCTATGAGGATTTTAACTGAGGCAGTAACCCTATATATAAATATTATATGTACATTTAGATTGTTGTTTAGTTGCTTAGTATTCTTACCTAGAGAATCCCATGGACAGAGAAGCTTGGTGGGCTACAGTTCATGGGTTCACAAAGAGTTAGACACCACTGAAATGATTTGACATGCTTACACAGTGTATATTGAAGGAATGCAAAGAAGATGCATTTAGTTTAGACCAACAAGGAAGATTTTCTAGAAGAGGTGATGCTTTGCCAGGTTCTTGGAAGAGAAATAAAAGTTAACCAAGGGAAGAAGAGGAGGAAGGGAATTTCAGCAGATGTCACAGCAAACATAAATTTGGTTTGCTATGGCTACAAAATGAGCAAAGAAGAGTGGAAAGGGTAAGGGAGGTAGGGCTGGAATATGAAGACTCATACTTGACTTACCTGAGCAGAAAAAGTCTATACATAAATATAATAGTAACCAAATGATGAGTGGTTGTTGTATATGTATACCCAAGTTTCTCCATCATTCATTTCCCTTTATCCTGCCTGCCTATAAAGTTATTGATTAAATATCTATTCCTCTACCAATACTTAAATGAAAATTCACTGCACTTTTTTTCTACTTTGCAGCTATGAGGATTTTAACTGAGGCAGTAACCCTATATATAAATATTATATGTACATTTAGATTGTTGTTTAGTTGCTAAGTCATGTCCAACTGTTCTGTGACACTGGGCTCACTGTGCTCCTCCATCCATGGGGTTCTCCAGGAAAGAATACTGGAGTGGGTTGCTGTTTCCTTCTCCGTGGATCTTCCTGTCTCAAGGATTGAGCCTGTGTCTCCTACATTGGCAGGCAGATTCTTTATCATTGAGTCACTGTGTGTGTGTGTGTGTATGTCTGTGTGTGTGTGTGTAAGTGAGGGAGGCAGGGAGAGGGAGGAGGAAGAGAGAGGGAAAGAAGGAGAGTGGGAAGAAGTAAAATAGTATTGAATAGTAACTACTCTTTGAAATACAAATGGAAGGCATGATTCATAATCCAGGAATTGCTTCTTTTAAGAATTGGTCATGTTTCATTTATTCTTTCCACAAATTGCCTCTGCCTTTTTGTGTATCCCATTTCTACTCACAGCAGGCATTGTCTCTATTTTAATCATTTGTGTTGTTGATGATCATATTAAACAACTGACTTACATAGACAACATTGTGCCATAATTTTGTGGTTATTTATGAGTTTTTCCTTTATCTGACCCCTTATCATCCCCACCTGAGATCTGTGAAGAAAGGAGCTGTTGATTTTTAATTCCCATATTCAGCACATAGTAAGCTATCTACCAGTTTGACTGAATAATTTTTGTATTTACAGATGAATAAAAAGCTACATGAACAGATATGAGAACTCAGTAATAAAATTTAAATTTTCACTGGGATATAAGAAAGTTTTGGTGGAACAGGTGAAGTCTAATTTTATGAAGAATAACAGACTTGCCAGGCAGTAGAGGCAGAAATGACTTTAGGTAACAAAGCTGCCTTAATAATACAAGATGTAATCCTAGCAAGAGTAAGGGCTATAAGGTGACTAAAGGGCATAGTGCTTAATAAGTAAACAATGTTGAGACTGTGACACCCTCTGAATGATATCCTAAAACATTTTTCTTCACTCCAAATGAAACATAAGTGCTTTTGTGCAGAGAAGTGCCATTAATTTACCTTTGATTTGGGTGCACAAAAATTATTCTCATGAAATGAATGGATGAATGCAGGATGAGAACAAAGTTTCCAGGGGATTAATGAGGGAACCACTGTAAGAGTAGAGGTTGAAAACAGTGAGGAGTTGCACTATGTCAGGGGGTGTAAGAAGGAAAGGATGGAGTGTGGTGAGATATTTTAGATATAAAACCACTGTGACCTGAAACTCCTTGAATATTGACAAGGACAAAGAGAGGAAAACTGGAGATTTCAGATATTGTAAACTTTACATGAGAGAACACACATCTTACAATATAGAACAGTGCTTGCCAAAGCCCTTATTATTCACACCCATGTACATAATGGCAGAATTTTAATACATGGCATCCAGTCCCATCACTTCATGGCAAATAGATGGGGAAACAGTGGAAACAGTGGCTGACTTTATTTTTCTGGGCTCCAAAATCACCACAGATGGTGATTGCAGCCATGAAATTAAAAGACGCTTACTCCTTGGAAGGAAAGTTATGACCAACCTAGATAGCATATTAAAAAGCAGAGACATTACTTTGCCAANCGGACACGACTGAGTGACAGAACTGAACTGAACTCTTGAAATCATCTTCCAAATAACACACCTGCTTGGATGACTTAAGCCAATTTATGTTTCAATCACTGGAACATTCCATATACATTTAACCGCATGACACAACCCTGTCAGGCTGGCCAAGTATCTCCTGCGAGAGCACTTTATGTCTCAGAAGTATACTTTTGACATCCTTCAGGCGAAGCCTTCACATTTTAATTATCATGGATATTATAGTTCATGATACTATTTATATGTTCATTATCCACGCATTAACAGTTCTTGAAATAACAAATTAATCACTACTGATTGACAGGCAGTATTCTTAAGGTTTGTTCAACACAGAGATAATAGACAACTGATATGTAATTTTATTTACTTTTTCATAGGACACATAGGTGTATTGTATATTATATTCAATTTGATCTGTAATTTTTAAGATGTGAGTGACATACATTATCAAATTAACTTGTTCATACTGTGTTTGAATTATAAAAGTAAGGATTTTACATATTTCATTTCTGGAAATCGTTAGGTGTGATATATCTGTTATTGTACAATGCTATTTATATCTTTCAATCCTCACTAAATATACACATATATTCTTTCTTCCTTTCTTTCTTTTATTTTTCTGATCTGCTTCCATTGATGACTCTATACTTTTGACTACAGACTGGCAATATGAGGGTAAGATGACAAAAATAAAATCTCAAACCCCACAAACATTGCTTGTCTGTCTCTGTTTCATCCTCTTTAGAATATTATTAAAATTCTATTCACTCTTTTTAATTAGACCCTTTATCACAATTAAAGTCCAATTATGTTTGTTTCTGTTGTGAAGCTTTAATTACAATTTATCCTTGTTAATCATCCCTTTATGTCATTTCTTTGGGTTAAATTACCATCCCATTATCTCTGTCCTGAAAGACTTCCACTCTCCAGTGGTCTCTGCTGGTGTTTTCGCAGTATGGTTTGAACCATGTCATGGTCTATAAAGTGTCTTTGTTGCAATGTGGTAAGGAATCTGCATAGTTCTTATGAACACTTTTTTTTTAATTAAAAAATTATTAACAGTAATGATGCATATTAATTTGATTATAGGATATTTATTTTTAAATGTCAGTACATATCAGTGTGAATTTAATCTCAGGGTGAATGTCCCTGCAATAGCTACTTCTTACTTTGTCTTGTTTTCTCTTTAGATTGTAAACTAGCTCGAGGAGGACCACCAGCCACCATAGTTGCCATTGACGAAGAGAGTCGGAATGGTGAGTGAGATTTCTCTTTTAAAAGTGACCAAATCTAACAGGGATTTCTCATTTCAAACATATTTTTGATATATGTGGAAGCACTAAATGAAAGCCCCAAAGCAAATTCACTAACAGTTCTCTTTTAATTTCTTCCCTGTATGACTTTAATTTACACCATTCCCTGGAAATGCTTGGATTATATTATGAGAGACTCAGTGAATAGAAATGTTTAGTTTTGATTGCAGAGAAGTCACTTGATTCAGGATAAGTCCAAGAATACATCTAGATACTGGCTAGAGCTTTTCTTTGTCAATAGGTAGATTCAGCTATCACATATACTGTTACCTAGTGCATTCCTCCAAAAGAAGTGAACCACAAGGTAAACTATGCACTGTTAATTTCAATTTGCTACACTCTGGTTAGGATTAAGATCCATAGCCTATCATTAGGCATGGTGATTTAAGAAGTTACTGGGAAAACTGAAAAAGTTCTTGATAACAGAGAACCCAACAAAAGGTCTAGAACAGAGGAGAAAGTCTGACTTTTCACTCTGTCTGTCTGCCATAAGTAACATCTAATTCTTAATCTATATTAAGCACTCCAGCAATATAATTTTCTTTATCAAAACAAAAATTAGCACTTTTGTTCCCCAACACTCTCTTGGTCTCTCTAAACTTTACAAATAGTTAAAGATGCTACTCCTCTATTAGGTAAAAGTAAAATGGAAATCTCTTGAGTCTTGGTTTCTATTGCAAACTCTTCTAAATATGAGAATGTTCTTTAGCTCATTTTGTCTATTGATTCTGCAACAGACCTTCCACTATGTTTAATTTGTACTTTTATTTTACCATGTTGATGTCTTTTTAAAAAACCATTGCCAGTGGCTTATTAGAAATTGACTTTTCACTGCAATTCAACCTATATGTATCTTGAAAATTTCTATAGTATACATAATACCTGTATTGGTGTACTTAATCATAGATTTATTATGCTGTATTAGAAATATTTCTTTTCTTTCTTAGTAGAATCTGTATAAACATTTTAAATTCTTAAACATCTTTCACATCCTTTGGAATCAGCCAAAAAATGTCCACAATACTCCTGGCCTCTGTTTAAACAAATTTAAGTGTTTATACTAAATTTTAGAAATGTTTTTAAAATTACACAGGTTTGATAGTTTATTTTTAAAAATTCAGTACTTATTGATGTTGAAAACATGTGAAGTTAATGTATTACTAAGATGTATTTAAATAAATTAGAAATAAGTTCTGTATGTGTCCTCAGAAAAGAAAAAAAAGTATATATATAATTACTATACCAGAAAATGTATATTTCACATGTAGAATTATGATTTATCCTTAAATGCTTTTCTATGAACAAATCTGCTTTCTAAATGTACTATAGTAAGAAAAAAAAAAGTTTACTTTTTAAACAGAGACACAAAATTAATGTAATAGAAAACTAACCTGTATTTTCTAATTGTTCACCAGTTCTCTTAAACATATAAGCTGAGCTGAACTAAAGCATTAATTTTACTAAATGGCTGTTTCAACATAATTCTACACAGAGCTTATTTTGCCAACCAGATAATTATAGCCACAGTAATATTTTACCTCTCCTTGTGCTGATTAGATGCCACTTTTTGAAGGAGCTTAGGAACTCTACAAAGATGTTGTCATAGCAGTGCTGCATGGCAGCATGTGGTGAAAGTTCAATATTTATATTTTAGAAGAATGTGACATGATGTAGTGGTGTAATGTTTTGCTCTTTAATTGGCATGTTTTGTAGAACCTGCCAACTACTCAAAAAGCTGCCAAAGTTTTTTGAGTGTCATCACAAGGAGTATAAATACCAATCTAGAGATTAAATGTATTACATTTTTGTTTCACATTAAATTTCTAAAAATACGGTGATCAAATGAAACTCTGCCAGATATTATAATGTAATGTGTAATCATACTTGCCTTAGAAGTCTAAAGGAAACAATGCATTAAAGTGTTTTCTTATTTTTCTTTAGACAAATCTGAGAAATTTCCCAAAAGGACAGTTAATTCTAGTCTTTCTCTTAAACTCTTAGTTTTTTTTTTCATGAAACTTTTTAATTGGCAGTAACAAAACATGTGGGTATCCTATTTTACTAGTGTAATAAGCACCTATTTTTAAAGGTTCTGGGCCTCTTAAAAGTAATGCATAGCAAATCCTTCATTAAGTCAAACTAGTAAGTTTGTGTGTCAATTTGTTCTTTGTTTACTTTATTGATGTTACTGCTAAACAATCTCCATTGTTAAATACATCCTCGAGTATAGCTTTTAAACAATTCAGGCCTTTTAAATTATATATTTAATTTTCTTATATAAGTCACCGCTGCTGCTGCTAAGTCGCTTCAGTTGTGTCTGACTCTGTGCGACCACATAGATGGCAGCCCACTAGGCTTCCCCATCCCTGAGATTCTCCAGGCAAGAACACTGGAGTGGGTTGCCATTCCCTTTTCCACTGCATGAAAGTGAAAAGTGAAAGTGAAGTCGCTCAGTCGTGTCGGACCTTTAGCGATCCCATGGACTGCAGCCCACCAGTCTCCTCCACCCATTTCTAGGCAAGAGTACTGGAGTGATACAAGTCACTAAGATACATTTAAAGAATGTCCATTATTTGTTATATACATCTGCATATTTCAAAATTTTTATACTCTGTGGGATAGAAATATTTCTTTTTTAAAATATGTATGTTAAATTTGTTTGCACATGTATATGTTTGAAATACTTAAAAATTTAATAGATAGAGATTCATGAATCTCTTTCTTACCCTAGGACCTGTTAGATTGTTCCCTTCCTTGGTCCTTGTCCTCAGCTGTATATTGATAACAGATTCATTTTCTCACCCTCAATCTGAAAAGTTCATTTTCATCAGAGCCACCAGAAAATCAAGCTTATGTGGTAAGGACCCAAAGTCAGCCCATTAAGAAAATCATATTGGCCCTTGATCAGTGCCCGAAACCTCTAGAACTAGTATATAGGACATATTTAATGAGTAATTGCATTTAGAGGGGAGAATGTATAGTGAGAAACAGACTTAGAATATATTATTTGAAAATATCTAAATTTTTTTTCCAGAAAAGTTTATGTATACAGAAAAACCTGCACATGGACATGTTCAGCAGTTTAATTCATAAATTTCCCAAACTTGGAAGCAAGCATGATGTCCTAGCAAGTAAACTATGGTGCATCCAGACAAATTCAAACTAAAATGAAATGAGCTTGATAGAAGCCATGAAAAGACATGAAAGTGATTTAAGTGCATATTACTAAGTGAAAAAAGCCAACCCCCAAAAAAAAGCAGAGACTGTATCATTTCAACTATGGCATTTTGGAAAAGGTTAAAAATAAAAATGAAACAAATAAAAAGATTACTAGTTTCTAAAAGTAAGTAGGAGAAAGATAGGCAGAGCAAAAAGGAATTTTAGGGCAATGAAAACACTGCATTATATTTTAATGATGGATATATGTCATTATATATTTGTCCAAACCAATAGAATGCACAACACAAAAAGGAAATCAAAGGTAAACTGTGGACTTTGGGTGATTATGATGTGCTAATGTAGGTTCATCCTTGGTTAAAAAAATTGTACCATTCTAGTGAGTGATGTTGATAAAGCAGAACACTACACATGTGCAGGGTAAAGGGTATATGGAAAAATATACTCTCTCTGTACTTCCCATTGTGAAATTAGAACACTGCTCTAAAAAAAAAAACTTTAAAAATATTTCTAGAAATACACTTTTAGGTTCACTGGACTCTGAATTGCCTAATGGCATTGAGTCCTTACTGGAAGGAGAAAGGCCAGGAACAGTTACACTAAAACTATTTAAATTTGCCTCTGGGTGCCAGCCAAGTCAGGGTCTTGGATGCTTTACAACAACTATGGAATGACATTCAAACAAACTTTGGAACAACTGGCTCAGGCTAACTCTCAGAAACTGGATAAATATACATAAGCAGTGCTGAGTTAAGGGGACAAGAAAACAATTTGAAATCATGGTTTGAATACAACACTATGACTGTACAAAAGTAGACAGGTTCAGAAGCAAAAGGATATCACTAAGTAAGTGAGAGATTTAGGAGGCAAATCTGTAAGTGTCTTTTATGGATTTGCAGTTAAGATATTGTGGACTCACAGGTAATTTGGGAAATGAAAGATAATGGAATGTATTCACATTATGAAGGGACCCATCAACAGAGGATGCCGCAGCTGATTTAATGAGAGTGTTTCCTAGCCCTTGTCAGGGTACATTTCAAAACCAAGTATAAGCTGGGTTGAGTATTACAGACCTTCCTGTGCTTCTAGGGAGGTAGGGGAGGTTATAGAAAGGAACAATGAATTCAATTGCTCACTCCTTCTGCAGAGATTCTCTGGCCCAAGCATGTAGCTTGGGGAGGGAAAGGAGGTTGGCTCTTCATTAGAAACAATTACGTTATTGAGGGGCATTTGCAAGTTGCTTGGTGTCATCCTTTTCTTTCCATTGTCAAAAATCACTAAGCTTGGAAGAGCAGAAGATTAAATGTTTATGCTGATGTTCTTCTTTCCTTATAGTTACCAATTTCATATCTTTGGGTTATAGCAAAGGAGTTTGCCAAACTCTGCCTTGCATACCTCCAAAGGGTTGCAAGTAGAGTTTCACATATTCCTAGTAAAATAGATCTTGCATTCATGGAAAGATAAGTTTTGAAGAACCAATGTTTGTTTATGAATATTCCCAAGGTGTAAACAAAGTGTGATGTCATTTATATGTGTGTGTGTGTGTGTTCAGAACCATCTCTTTTTGCCGATGTTATCTTCACTCTTCTCTTTTTTTTCTCTAAAGAGAGCAAGGTCTAATCTGGCAGAAAAAAATCACAACAACAACTAGAGTGGAAGGATACTAAACTGTATGAAGTAACTCAGAGTAGAAAATGATGAGAACCGGAGATGAGAGATGACACAAGATGTTGGGAAGAGAGGGAACGGAGGAACCAACCTAGCAA